TAGGCCAATCCTTGCCAAGTCTTGAAAAGTGTCACGACAAGCCTTCGCTCGAGTGAAATTTAATTTCCGTAAAACTCTGAAAAATAAAGAGATCCGATCAAACTGATTGTGGTTTTAGTATAGGTACATGAATGTCTTACAACACACGAGAAACGAGCGAAATCCCTGACTCAAGCAAAATCGACCGGACCGCTCTTACTGAGACACTCTCTTAATCGCGAGAAATGTATAGAAAACCCCTGCATGCAATGATGGTTCATATCTTTTTCTTGCTTAACCCTTTAACTCCCGTGAGTGACCAAGAGAGAATTTCTCCTCACCAAATCAATACAATATCAAACAGACAAGTGATGAGAAAAAAAATATTTCAGCTAGGGGATTTGGTTGCATTCCATACTCCACAGCCAGGCACTGAATCAGCCTTTGAGCAGGCTCTTCCGCATTCATGCTCTTGGCTATAATTTCTAATTTGAGAAGCCTCTGCTGTATATTCCAATCTTTGTCAATGAAGCGAACGATAATTACCAACGCTTCTCCAAGCACTGTTGGCAGCTATTTTGTATTTCACAAAGTTCATCTCCTTCTGACGAATCATGGGAATGAATTCTGCTAGATGGTTCCGAGATGTCAAGCGATGACCATATTTTTCAAGAAATGGTCGCAAACTGTCGACCTTTAAAAGGGGAATACCTACCTTCAGTAGAGTTTCCACAAGCTCATATCGATAGAGCCTCATGTCTTCAGGTAATGAGGATCCTTTTGCTCCTCCGCTTGTTATAAGGAAGAGACTTTTATCATTCTATTTTGTGATCAGCATTTGTCATGTTCTACTTGCATTTAAATACTATCCTGAATCAGGTGTAGTCTCCAGAATCACGTTTGAATCTAAACTATGATGGAACTAGTAAAATAACCATCGAAGGCCATCTTAGATTAAAAATTTGAAATACGTCTTCGGGTCAGTTTGGCAAGGAAATTGGGGATTTAAGATCCAGGACTGTAAATATTATAAATGAATGAGGAGACCAGATATAGGAGTTTCGTCAGTTGGATTCGAAAAGACAGATCGGAAAAGCTAGATAAGTTAAATTAACCACGGAAACATATTTTCCAAAATTCCGATTACAAGAAAGTCTTAACGAAAACTGTGTTACCACGCAATACATACTAAATAAAAAATGATAACTAATTGAACATTTCTCAGTTATCTTGAAAATTGATAAGTCTTTAAAAAAGTAAGAAACATTTAAAAAGTGCAAGCGAAATTAAAAACAGGTTTGTAAAAACATTATGAGTGGAAGACAGATTTGATATTGGTAATTTTCACCTATTTATTTAGGATCGTATGTGTGTGATAATTATAACTATCCTGTCAATGTTGCCTTATCTGCGCGTAGAAAGTGTCTTGAATCGGGAGATTGTTTAAGGCAAAAGATATTTTAATTTAGAGATATTTACTTTTCTTTCTCAAGGTATTAATTTTCGTCATTTTCCATCACTTGCCACCATCACTCACCAGGTTTCAAGAGAAGAAGATAATAGGATTGGTTCCGTACTGCATACAGTCGACTTTTCACTCTTTTGATTACACTGAAAAAAAAAGAAAAAAAAAACCGAAAAACCTGAAGAACTAAGGTTCGAGTCCTCACCTGGTTATAATATTATAATATTTCCATTTCCTTGGCCCCGCCCTCGTGAAAAATGGCTTCAATCTTTTTCCAGAAACGTTTTTGACTAATCTATGCGTCCGATGCAGATGTTAGCAGACGTTATAATTTGCATATCTTGGGACGAGAGGAAATAAATTTGTAGATGGTCGGTGCCAACAACAGCAATTCGTAATTTCAAGTTTTCCACATCCTTGTAGATGATACGAAAGTTTTAAGAACAAAAACGTGCCACACGAAGCACGGCCTAGTGTGACACTATAAGTTACTACTGAAGAGACCCACGGCAATATTTATTTGTTTAAATGTTGTTTAGGGATGCCAACGAGGAGTCTGTCCTCCAATTGAACATTAGTAAGAACTAATCCAAATGAGTGTGATTTATCTTTTTATACAAAGCTATGGCGGAGTATAGCGAGTGTTTATCAGGTGTATAACTTAACAGAAAAAGCAGTCAGACATAGAAGTTTTTCTCGTATTTTTGTTTTCTGTGTCGTTTTGTTACCTGTGTTGATAAACCTGTGTCATTTCAACACTGCACGGCCACAATTTTATGTTATGTAAAACCTATTTCTTATGTCTCTACCATGACTAGAAGCTCCTCCAATTTCATTTCCCATAACAAAGTAAGACCACAATCCGCGACTCAGAGCAGCCCCTCTGCAACAACTTCCGCTAGCTTGTCAATAACTAACTATACAATAATAGGGGTATTCTACTCGAATCTCCAACCTAACATGTACACAGATCGCGAAGAGGTGTCTAGGTCAGTTTTATTATCATCTACGTAGGCATCGTCGCTTGACGCTTTTCGTCGCACGGTTCAACCGTACCTGTACATGCGTCTTTTTCATCTCTGGTTTGCTCAGCCATCATGTCACATGAGATAAGTGTCATTTCATTTATCGAGCTCCAGTGACTATCACACGGTACTTTTAAAGCTTAAACCTCTCCCCTCTGTGCTCATTTTTGCTAGCATTTTAAACTGAACAAACAAGGCAGCCACAGGGCTCCATGCCGGCAAAATACACTGAATCTGATTCAGTTGTGGATGGTAAGTGATGTAAGCCTCATTCGTTTAATGTAATTTGATCCAAACATGACTCTCACATGCCGTAGGTAAGTCTCTTTATGATTTTCATACCATGAGCTTATCTTTTTTGTGGAAATGAAAATGTCACTAACGATAATTGAAATATAGTTTAGTTTCTCGGCCGGATTTTCTTGTTATGTCGTCTACTTCCTGATACCGCAATCATTCCTCAATCATACAAATGCTAAGTTCAAGAAAACGATTCACGTGCCGCTCTAACTATGGAAACTTGAAATTTTTCGCCTTGTTTAAGCTGAGCTGGTGCTTATGTTCCAAGTTTATTCCAACACTTACTCAACCATACGACCATTAGCGGCGAAGGGCCAAACTGGCGCAATATCTTGTTTAAATTTAATGTCTCCTGTAAGATAGATTATTATGCTGAAGATCCTATGTCAATTTGCATCTGAACGAAAGAGTGTTCATGCAGAATCTTTTTTTACTGAATTAGCTTTCGTTCTCACCGAGTTTTCTCTTTTACGCCTGAATAAAAAGTAAAGAAACCTTCCGTACGTTTTTGTCTTCAAAAAGCTGACGATAAATAATTGCGTGGACGTAGCTGTTCAGTGTCAAATTATTTCGCAGATGCTGGTATTGAAGATAATTTTTCAAAAAAGCATTTCCTATACTTATTGTATAGCGCCACGCAAAAAACTTTTATTCTGGCTGCTTCTATTGATATCAATGCGACATGATCTTGACAAAAACTGAAAAAAAAGGCTGTCTTCCTAAACTTGAATCATTAGGAATTGAATTAGTTCAGGAAATGTAAAGCTGCAAAGCGCCGCGTCAAAGCGCTCTTCCCATCAGACATTAATTGAACTATTTTATTAACAGTCAGGCTGATAAAGACTCTTGAGGAAATGTAGAAACTGCACCTTTAAACATAAAGGCCAAAGTTGACAACAGATTCTTGAAGTCAAATTAAAGAAACAACGATTGGAAACTATATCAATTAATTCATGAGAGAGAGCTTTTCGTTTGTGCTCTATTAAACAAGTATTTACTCAGGCACTGTCTTGAGGGGCGTTAAGCTACCGCGTTTAATCGTAGGACAAAATCGGCAAATCGATGTCACATTTTCATTAATAAGAATAAGTACGGCGCAAATGAAACTCTATATGAATTTATAGTTTTGGTTTTGGCGCGGACTTTACTCCTGTGGTTGCTTCGCTTCAAGAATACATTCTTCTGAAAATAAAGTTAATTCATCGTCCGCTGTTTCAGCATGCCAGCACGCATTGCAGAAACGTCTCATTATTTCAATGTCATGGACCTGTCAAAAATACATGGAATCATTTGCATGCAATTAAACTTCCATTAGAGGGCTATGAGGTAAAAATAAAATTGACCTGAAGGCGACGATTCCATAACGGAATTTTGACATTAAAGTGACCGAAATGTGACGTGTGCTTCCCATGATTATGCAGGCTATGAAAACACACTTTAGGGAAACAAATTTATGAGGAATTTGTCTCCACTTTTTGTGCATTGTTACGATCAACCATCGTAGAATTCTAAATAACAAGCCTTGCGTCCCAAGACGACATTGACTTAAAGCTAAATTATCATTTTTTTATTAAACTTAAATGCGTGTTATTTGCCCAGTGCATTATTTTTCTTCGAACTAATAGAGCCCACTGAAGGTCTGTCATTGATTCACAGCTGCTCATGATCAAGAACAAACCGACAAATTCACAAAGAAGTACAATGACATAGGTAGAACATAATTTCGCAATTTCCCCAGATTTCCTTCACTTTCCAACATTAAAATTGTTCATTCTACCGAAGGCAACTTTATCTTTGGTTCGTCACACTGTTCTTGAGACCACGTGGCTAATTGCTCCCTAAAATTAGTTTTAAAATACGGAGCACCTGCCTTAAGACTCGCGAGAAAGTACAAAATCTCCTTTTAGAGTTAATCTTGAATTGCCGCACGTAAAGAGGGTTTCTTTCTTGTTTGTTTGTTTTTTTATACTCAAGTTTATAAATTAAAATCAACGAGGATATCTAAAGCAAAACTGGGATTATTTATAGGAACGGACTGTAAATGACATGTGACATGTTCTAATTCGATGGTAAATGAATAATTATCCCTATTCCATAAATTATGGGTAACATCCGTAAAAAATACTCTGCCTCTATGTAACCCAACTCACATCTATCATATAAGGAGAAGACAATTAGCTTCTGAACGGTGTTCATAAGTTTGACCTCTTGACTGAGCTCTGAGTAGTTTTTTTGTGACTTTCAAAGCGGAAAGAAAGCCCGTGTTGTACGTGTCTTGAAAATTGAGGCATGTTGGATTTGAGATCAATTTGAGGACTCCCGCACGCAAACATGTATGTCTGATATTCCTGTCCAGCTGTCAAGAAGAGATGCGACCGAGAGCCGCATTAATATTCATAGCAAATCATTTTGAAATGGTTAAGAAAACGATGGGATCAGGAATGAGCTCTTTAGTTCATCAGGGTTCATTAGTCTCGGGCAACTGAATTCTCAAACCGTTGAACAGGGGAAGCAACCTTATCGATCTCCAAAGGTATATCATGTTTCTTATTTTAGATCAACCGGAAAAAACGCTTGGATCAGTGCGGTTGAGATGTAAATTTTTCCTTTTTTTTAATCTTCCTTTAGTACTAAGAGGCTACAAGTCTATTTGCTGACAGCCGACTTCATTGCATTCTATCGCAGGTACGTTGAATTGCCATGAGACGTTCAACGCTTCGTAACTGACAATAATTTGGAGGGAAACAAGTTGACTTTGTAAGGCCAATATATAGGCAGATTGATTTCCTGTTTCCAGACTAATACTAATAACGTTACAGTCCATCAAAAATAGTTATATACATGCGCCAGCGGTGTCTTCAATAAGATATCATACATTATCTTTGGTGTTATTTTTTATTCTACCGGATATTAAACTGAGAATAAAAGATTAGTTAAAATGAATATTATGTTATTTTTATCGTTCCTTTCTGATAGTTTTCGTTATTGGTATTATGCGAACAAATGAAGGAATCGAGCAGAAAATTCAAAATAATAAAAAAAACTATTAGTGAAAGTTATCTTTATTCATTGGGGCGGAAAACTACAAATGAGAAGATGACAAATTTGAAACGCCTTCGTCATAAAAGCAAACCAAAAACGAAGACCAGTATTTATATATTTTAAGGATGGGAATACTTAATATTTCTATGCAGAAATGCTTAACAATCACTTCAATAATCTTTCTTTAGTACTAAGAGGCTACAAGTCGATTTGCTGAAAGCGGACTTCAGTGCAGTCTATCGCAGGTACGTTTAATTGCCACTCACAATAATTTGGAGGGAATCAAGTTGACTTTGTAAGGCGAATATATAGGCAGATTGATTTCCTGTTTCCACACTAAGAGTAATGACGTTACAGTCCATCAAAAATAATTACAAACCTACGCCAATGGTGTCTTCAATAAGATATCATACATTATCTTTGGTGTTATTTTTTGTCCTACCGGATATTAAATTAGAATAAAAGATTAGTTAAAACGAATATTATGTTATTGTTATCGTTTCTTTCTGATAATTTTTGTTTTTGGCATTATGCGAACTAATGAAACAACCGTGCAAAAAATTGATAACAATAATGAAAAAAAACTATTTCTGAAAGTTATCTTTATTCATCGGGATAGAAAACAACAAATAAGAAGATGACAAATAAGAAACGCTTTCGTCACAAAGGTGAACCAACAACGAAGACCAGTATTTATATATCTTAAGGATGAGAATGCTTAATACTTCTGTGCAGAAATGCTTAACCATCACTTCAATAGTAAGATTTTTTGACCAGGGTTATTTATGGAGAAAATTAAAATGTCCTGTTGCATTCGTTTTCCTGTTTCCAGTATTTCCGTTCCTCTTCACAGCTTCAGTGACGTCCTGAAAATCATCGACTCAACAGAAGTGAACTTAGTTTAAAATAAAAAAAAAATAAAAAAATATTTTGTTTCCTTTAAATTCACAATTGATTCCTCTCACCACACCCCAGGTTGGTATCAGGTAAGATTTTAGGGGGCTATGGGTGTTCCCTTCACTGATTATTATTCAGTAATAACAGTCTTATCCTATTACACTTATGCACCAGAAAAAACACAACTAAAGATGAAACCAGATACCGAGTTGATTGTTATGACAGTCCTCTACGCCATCACCATGATCGTAGCGTTTACAGGGAATGGTTTTCTCATCTACATCGTGTGGAAGAAACCTGAAGTCAGATCACTGACAAGCTTCATGTTCGTCAACATGGCCATCGCCGATTTGCTGGTAACGTTGGTTGTGATGCCTTGGTCGATTTCCATAATATATACAGAAGGTTTGTGGATAATCCCGGGAGTATTTGGAAAAGTCATGTGCAAAGGTGTTGTATACACTGCCTTTGTCACTATAACAGCATCCGTCCTCTGCCTGACATTCATGGCCATTGACAGGTACTATGCCATCGTTCATCCCCTCCGCCGCCATCTTTGGTTTCGAAAGCCTAAACTAACCGTTCCATTTATTTGGATCGGTTCACTGGTCTTCATGTCCATTTTCCTTGTTGTTCAAACCGTGGAGGACCACAATTCCCAATGCATGCTATCTGTTTACATCTTGGGTGATCCAGATAGGGCTCTTCGAGGAATATACCTCCTCCTTTTCGTCGTCAACTATCTCATTCCCTTGGTCGTTATTTCTTTCCTGTATTCCATTACTGCATGGAATTTATGGTTCCATGTTGCACCTGGAGTGACTACTTTTAGAGGAAATCGAGTGCAACTCGAAACCTCCAAGAAAAGAGTGGTTCGGATGCTCATTATTGTTACCTGTGCCTTTGCCCTTTGTTGGCTCCCACCACAAGTGGTCCACATGATGAACGTCATTCACGCATCAAAGACTTACCTACATATACAGCCGATTGTCAGCTTTGTGTGTTTCTGGTTTGGACACGCTAACAGTGCCGTTAACCCATGGCTGTACATTTTTCTGAGCACCAAGATAAATATGGCATTTACTAGGATCGTCAGTAGAAAAAGCAGCCAGTTGCCTTCAAGTCTCGCCATTAAAACATCAGATGCCGTCTTATCACCTGAAGATGAAGCAATCCAGAAAGAATCAAGAATATAATCCCTCTCATAACATGAAACTTTTATAACCAATAACGTAACTGTAAGATAGGAACCCGATTAAAACGGATTTCCGTATTACTAATTATATAATGTATTACAAACACCTACATACGATTTCATAAATGTTACTGTCGTAATCCGAGTAATTTCATGACAAATTGATAATTGCAACTAATTTCTACAAGAACTGTTCTATCGACTGGTAAGAATAAACAGGGGAATCCGTTACAGAGTGAACTATAGGACGAAGCATATTGGCATTGCTTCTTCGATGTTTGAGGCAGTGTGGTGAGGGTGCTGGACTAGTTATCTGGTGGTTCCGGGTGCAAGCTGGATTTGTTCTCGTTTTGCCCTAAGGCCGATTCCTTGACTTACTTTGTATACAGCCAACTAGTGTGCCCCCTACTGGTTGGGATTTATAAAAACTATGATTATTTACAACGTCTGTTTTCCAATTTGATTGTAATGGCCATCAAAGCCTCATGAGAATATTGGTCAAAAAGGAAACACTGACATGTTTATTCCGTGTTCCGGGTAGCGTTAATTAAGTGTATTTGCATACCGCTTTCGCGATAATAATTTAACGAACTATTTCAGTTTATAATTAGCTGTTTTGAAAGGAGATTTGTAACAGCCTTCGGTTATGATATACCCAATTAAAGCAAAAGAAATACATATGGACCAAGAATCGTCTCATTCCGGTCCGTTTAGAGTGGAGCGTGCTAACCACTTGGCCACACGATCTTCCTTAAGGTTGCAATATTTGTTCTTTCTTTTTCGTCTGAATTTGTTCTGAAATAATACAATCTTGAACAAACAAACAAAAAAAACCAACTGAAAAGGAAAAGAGAAAATTAACCTAATATTCAGGGGCTTGGACATCTCAGAAGAGTATAGAGAAAAGTTCAATTTTCAGAACTATCCAGCGAATTTTTTAATTTTAATAATATTCAGAAGATAGACGTTGTCAAACGAGGTATTTCACAGTCATTACAGGCGATCTAGCTAATTAGCGAACTAGCTAATTAGCGCGCGCGAAAAGCACAATTTACCTGTCTGCTATCTACTAATTTGGTTGTTTATTCATAATTTTTTCATCGATACTAGCCAATCGTTCCTCATAGTTTTTTTTAAATTCTGTGGCACACAATGATAGCTCAGCTGAAATCCAAGTGAGAGCTCTGTGCAACGGAGCGTTAATTTTGTTTTTTTAGGTTTCAGGTGTCATAGGGACAAAGTGAGGACAATAAGAAAAAATGAGATTTTCAAGGGGAGCTCAGCAATCCCTCGACAGAATACCATAAGAAATATGCACTTTATTTAAGAACGAGCAAGCAGCTGAGAAAGTGAAAAAATAATCTGAGACTTCGTTAAGAATTTGAACATCAGACCTTCCCATGGTGCCTTTAACTACGGAGCTGCATTACAAGTCAGTCCAGCATACTGATAAGATCGGCAATCTTTAGGGGGGAAGGAGAGTAGGTGGAGTGGGAGCACTCGCCTCCTCACATGTAGTTGTGGCCTGAGTTCCACTCCCAGCGATCTTGGCGATACTTGTGGGTTGACTTGGTTGCTGTTTTTTTTCTTTCGCCATTCTAATTTTTCTCCCAACATTGTAACATCTATATCATTTCTGGATTATCCTGAAAAAAAAAGAATTCCCGTGAAGAAAATAACCGCGATTGCTCTTGGAGAAGAGGTCGGACAAAAAAAATACAAAACAAGGAACGTCTCAGTGAACACAACGAAACAAGTATCAAATTTCTAAAAGAGGCCATCAGTTGCATACCTCTGGCAAATGAAGATGGAGCTGATTTTGAAAATACCGCTTTCCTTTTTAACCCTCCAGCCGGGCACTTTATTGTTATAGCAGGAAAGAGTGATTGGGAATATTACTTTTCCGAGGGTGGTAGCAACAATATAACCTGTAAATGTGTCCGCAAACCCTGGCTGATGTACCTCTGGAACAAAGGCACATTTGGTTTTTCTGCTATCACCTTGTCATTGTTTCTTGCTGAAGTAGTCATCATGGCTTTTAGGTCTACTTAAGTGTAATCTGGGAGAGCTAAATATAGGTTTTATGTCTCATTTAGTTGTGCATTTTAGAGCCCCAAACACACTAGCCAAAGGTACCGGTTTAGTTAATTTCTTTGCGATACACAGAACGTCATTGCCCTCTTAGTTCCCGCCGGATTGCTATGTTCTGAAAGCCGCTCTTGTAGATTAAATTGTTGAGTATTGGTAAGAAAATACGTCGTGGAAATGCATAATCAAGTACCGTATTGATAAAGTAAATAACACAATTATCAGGTCATTCAATTCAGCATCCCGCTGCATGATCCTTCACGATAAAGTTTTATAGCGAATGGTGGGTCATTTCGCTCTGATGCCGGATCATCTCCAATACATAATTCGCGTACTTATATTTATGCTATACAGATACGGCTCATGATGAATCAATTTCTCCCTCTAGTAATGTTTGGTTGAGTGGCGTACACGTTTTCGCACACATTTTGGTGGTTTATCAGTAACATAAACCGCCCAAACTGAGTTAGAGCATTGTCACTGTTCTCGAAATAAACCGTTTTTCGTTGCAGTAAACACTAGCAAAAACCAGGTGATGATGTTTGGTACATGAGAAGTCCTTTAGCAAAGAGCCATTTGGCAAATTTATTCCCAAGGTCGCCAAAAATGCTGGAATACATGACAGAGTCATTAACCACTCTTTACGGATTTCGTCCATCTCACGTCTCCTTTCAATGCAAGATGCAGCTACCTCAGAAAGTTTTGTTGGTTCATGACATAAGTACTAACTGCATGTAAATGCTAACCTGGTTTTCTCTACCCGATTTATGGCCCCTGCGCGCTTTGTGCTTGAGTCATAAATCCGAGCGAAAAAAACTCGGTCTGTAACATGCAGAGCGGCCCTCGAACTCGATTAGTAAGAGGTATCTCGTGCTCTCCAAACTTCCCGCGTACATCCATACCTCGATTTACGCATGCAACGCATGGAATAATTCTTTATGAATCTGACAACTTGAAACATCCTGTTTACGACGGTAGTCGATATTTTTTCGTTGAGGTCAATTCTGTCTTTGAGTAAGTAGCCTGAGAAAGATAGTAAGTTTATCATACAAATTTGTCGAAACG